CCACTATTTCTCAAAATCTCCCCAACTTTTTAGCTCAGAGGGGGGAATTCTCCCCCCTTTTTTGAGACCTTGGCAGAACCCTGAAAACGTGTTACTGATTAGTCTCTGACATAATGTTTTTTTATATTTAGGTGGAAATTCATGTGAATATGCTTGGGACAATACTTATCTACTTAATAGAAGTTACTAGCCTGTGTATATACCACACTACAGGTAGGTCATTGTCTAGGCTCATGCTAGCTGATCGCATTTTTATTTCCAGACACTGTATAATCTGATTGGTCTGTCTGTCCATGTCATCACTGTTGCTGTTTGACACATGACATTTGCCCCATAACTGCCAAAACTTATTTTTGTTTTACTTTAAATTTACTGAGTGGCTTTGTTTCGTAAAAAGGCAGGTTGCTTTCAAAAACCAGCAAAAATAGTTTACATTTACAGTAATTATTCTGTGTTTTTGCACAGTTTTGGTGACATTCGCCTCATTCCTGCTAAATTGTATGTTTGTTGTACTTAAAATTTACTGAGTGGCTTTGTTTAGTAAAGGGGCAGGTTGCTTACAAAAATCGGCATGATCGGTTTACATTTTCGGTTATTAATTTGGTGTTTTGCACAATTTTGGTGAAGTTTTCCCCATTAATCCCAAATCATGTTTTTGTTTTACTATTAATTTATTGAGTGGCTTTGTTTAGTAAAGAGCATATTTTTATGTACAGACACAGATGTGTCTGTACATATTGCCATCACCTGCGTCTGTCGTCGCCGTCGCTGGCGCTGGCGCTGGCGCCCTGCACTTTCATTGTAAACACGATAAGTGGAAGGCAGTTTTACTTTTTGGCTGTATATTTACAGAGCTGATGAATATTCATGCAGGTCAAGTTCGAAAATCAGCATGATCGGGCCATTATTGTAGAAGTTATGCTGTTTTTTTCACTTTTCAGCATATATGCAACACTGTAAACACATTTCAAGGAAAACCGATAGGCCTGTTGTCATGAAACTCACAGGAGTAATCGATTTTACTATAACACAGGTCAACTTCGAAAATCGGCATGATCGGGCCACTATTTTAGTAGTTATGCTGTTTTTATGTACAGACACAGATGTGTCTGTACATATTGCCATCATCTGCATCTGTCGTCGCTGTCGCCGTCGCCGTTGACGTGCACTTTCTCCGTAAACACGATAAGTGAAAAACCGTTTTACCTTTTGGCTTGAAAGTTACAGAACTGATGAATATTCATAATGCGCCGGTCAAGTTCGAAAATCAGCATGATCGGGCCATTTTTAGGGAAGTTATGCTGTTTTTTCACTTTTTTCAGCATATATGCAACACCGTAAACACGATAAGTGGAAAACCGTTTTACCTTTTGGCGTGAAACTTACAGAACTGATGAATATTCATAATACGCCGGTCAAGTTCGAAAATCAGCATGATTGGGTCATTTTAGGGAAGTAATGCTTTTTTTTTTTTTTTTTTTCACTTTTTTCAGCATATATGCAACACCGTAAACACAATAAGTGGAAAACGGTTTTACCTTTTGGTTTGAAACTTACAGAACTGATGAGTATTTATAATACGCAGGTCAAGTTCGAAAATCAGCATGATAGAGCCTTTTTTATGGAAGTTATGCTGTTTTTTCATTTTTTTTTTCAGCATATATGCAACACTGATAACACAATATAAGAAAAACAGATAGGCCAATTGTCATTGTACTCACAGGAGTGGTCAATCTTACTAAAACATAGCTTGAGTATGAAAATCAGCATAATCGGGCCATTATTTTAGAAGTTATGCTTTTTTTTCACATTTCCTCAGATTCAATTCTTTGGCAAGTTAATAGTCTCATTATTGAACTAATAAGATGTGTAAAAGTGTTTGTTTGACATTTCCTGCATCTATACAACATTGTTAGTTGATTATGTAAAAATGATGGTAAATTTGTTATTGTGTATTGTGTAATGAAGTGTCAAAAATGGAAATAAACACATATCATTGCAGTTTGTCAGATTCAATCATCCACTATGTTCAGAGTCTCAGAATGGAGGAAATTGGACATTTTACACTGTTCTATTGATATTTTTCCCATCTCATCAATTTTCTTAGTTGGTGATATAAAAATGGCAGTAAACTGTTAATTTTGTTTTATGTTAAAAAAAGTGTTAAAAATGGAAATAAACCCATTTCAGAAAAGTGCTGTCTTGTTAACATTTTGGCATTTTCAAGATGTGACTTTGAAGTGCCATGGTCCTGAAGACCTTTGCTAGTCACGTTTTCTGAATGTTCATGTTACTAATATTCTATTATTAAAAATTGATGGTCATTATGCTGTTAAACATTATGTAATATTGCATCATAATTTGAAGAAACTCCTATTTCGGGCACTGCTCCCATGATGACCATTTAAGAAAAACCATGTCACTTACTGTTTTCAAACTTACAGGAAAGAAACATGGGGCTAAAATACAGCTTCAGTAGGCAATGCAGTCTGTTTGGCAATTTTTTCTGGCAGTTAAACAGTTTTTTGTGAAAATTTAATTTTTCACATATTGGGATTTTCAAGGTGTGACTTTGAAGTTCCATAAGCCTGCAGACCTTTGCTTGTCACGTTTTCTGAATGTTCATGTCACTAATATTCCATTTTAAAAAATTGATGGTCATTATGCTGTTAAACCTTATGTAATATTGCATCAAAATTTGAAGAAACCCCTATTTTGGGCACTGCTCTCATGATGACTATTTAACAAAAATCATGTCAATTACTGTTCTCAAACTTACAGGAAAGAAACATGGGTCTAAAATACAGCTTCAGTAGGCAATGCAGTCTGTTTGGCAATTTTTTCTGGCAGTTAAACAGTTTTTTGTGAAAATTTAATTTTTCACATATTGG